TCCGTGAAAATGTTCAAGATGGAGACATAGAGATTTGCAAAGTGCACACGGATCTGAATGTCGCAGATCCGCTGACTAAACCTCTCTCGCGTGCAAAACATGATCAACACCAGAACTCTATGGGTGTTCGATTCATCACAATGTAACTAGATTGGTGACTCTAGTGCAAGTGGGAGACTGTTGGAAATATGCCCTAGAGGCAATAATAAAAGTATTATTATATTTCAATGTTCATGATAAATATCTTTTATTCATGCTATAACTGTATTATCCGGAAATCGTAATACACGTGTGAATACTTAGACCACAATATGTCCCTGGTGAGCCTCTAGTTGACCAGCTCGTTGTGATCAACAGATAGTCATGGTTTCCTGACTATGGACATTGGATGTCATTGATAACGGGATCACATCATTAGGAGAATGATGTGATGGACAAGACCCAATCCTAAGCATAGCATAAAAGATCGTGTAGTTCGTTTTGCTAGAGCTTTGCCAGTGTCAAGTATCTCTTCCTTCGACCATGAGATCGTGTAACTCCCGGATACCGTAAGAGTGCCTTGGGTGTATCAAACGTCACAACGTAACTGGGTGACTATAAAGGTGCATTACAGGTATCTCCGAAAGTATCTGTTGGGTTGACACGGATCGAGACTGGGATTTGTCACTCCGTATGACGGAGAGGTATCTCTGGGCCCACTCGGTAATGCATCATCATAATGATCTCAATGTGACCAAGGTGTTGGACACGGGATCATGCATTACGGTACGAGTAAAGTGACTTGCCGGTAACGAGACTGAACAAGGTATTGGGATACTGACGATCGAGTCTCGGGCAAGTAACGTACCGATTGACAAAGGGAATTGTATATAGGGTTTGATCGAATCCTCGACATAGTGGTTCATCCGATGACAACATCGAGGAGCATGTGGGAGCCATCATGGGTATCCAGATCCCGCTGTTGGTTATTGACCTGAGAGCGTCTCGGTCATGTCTGCATGTCTCCCGAACCCGTAGGGTCTACACACTTAAGGTTCGGTGACGCTAGGGTTATTAGGAAGACTAGTATGTGACTACCGAATGTTGTTCGGAGTCCCGGATGGGATCCTGGACGTCACGAGGAGATCCGGAAGGTTCCGGAGGTAAAGATTTATATATGGGAAGTTGTCAAACGGACACCGGGAAGTTTCGGGGTCATACCGGTATTGTACCGGGGCCACCGGAAGGGTTCTGGGGGTCCACCGGGAGGGGCCACCCCTCCCGGGGGGCCACATGGGCTGCGTGGGGCAGGGAGCCAGCCCCTGGTGGGCTGGCCGCACCCCCCTCCCTTGGGCCCATGCGCCTAGGGTTGAGGGGGAACCCTAGAGGGGGCGCCCCCCTTGACTTGGGGGGCAAGCCACCCTCTCCCCTCTCCCCTAGGCCGCCGCACCCCCCCTAGATGGGTTCTAGGCGGCCGGCCCCCTTCTCCCTTCCCCCTATAAATAGAGGGGTGAGGGGAGGGCAGCCGCACCACCCTCCAAGGCGCAGCCCTCCCCTCCCCAACACCTCTCCTCCTCCGTTGTGCGCTTGGCGAAGCCCTATCGGAGTACTGCCTCTCCACCATCACCACGCCGTCGTGCTGCCGGTGGAGCTGTCTTCCTCAACCTCTCCTTCCCCCTTACTGGATCAAGAAGGAGGAGACGTCTCCCGTCCCGTACGTGTGTTGAACGCGGAGGTGCTGTCCGTTCAGCACTTGGTCATCGGTGATTCGAATCACGTCGAGTACGACTACATCATCACCTTGCAAGCTTCCGCACGCGATCTACAAGTGGTATGTAGATGCAAACTCTCTCCCTTGACTCGTTGCTTAGATGAACTCATAGATGGATCTTGGTGAAACCGTAGGAAAATTTTTAATTTTCTGCAACGTTCCCCAACATTCCACTCAAATCTTCTTTCCACCAAATCCAAATCCTGTGAGAGAGAGTTGAGTGTTGGGGAGACTATCATTTGAAGCACAAGAGCAAGGAGTTCATCATCAACACACCATTTGTTACTTTTTGGAGAGTGGTGTCTCCTAGATTGGCTAGGTGTCACTTAGGAGCCTCCGACAAGATTGTGGAGTTGAACCAAGGAGTTTGTAAGGGCAAGGAGATCGCCTACTTTGTGAAGATCTATCGCTAGTGAGGCAAGTCCTTCGTGGGCGACGGCCATGGTGGGATAGACAAGGTTGCTTCTTCGTGGACCCTTCGTGGGTGGAGCCCTCCATGGACTCGCGCAACCGTTACCCTTCGTGGGGGAAAAAGTCCAAATCAAACCTTGAACTCATACGTTTAGCTAAATCGAACCCCAAACTTCCAATCCCTGAAATTAGCACACTCAACTTTGGAATCCCGGTCCATTTTGAACCCTGCATCTGTTTGGCGCACTGGGAAATCAACAATCCTGACCGGGATTACAGTCTAGTCTCACTGACAATGGGACCCTACCTGTCATATCCGTCCTCCTCCTCTGTCTCTCAAATTCCATAATCTCTAAATTAAATGGTCAAGCTAGCACACTGTGCGGGCGGTGTTCCCCAATCCCTCAATTAAATCAGCTAGCTAGCACATAGTGCGGCCAGCGTTCTCTGCTGTTCTGCCATGTTCGAGGAGCTGCAGGAGCACAAGGCCAGCGGTGGGGCTCGCAGCCAAGAGCAGCGAGCTGGGACGGGTCGAGCTCGAGGCCGCCATGGCCAGCTCCAAGCAGAGAACGCCCCCGCTTGCGAGCCGAGCTCGAGGCCGCCATGGCGAGCTTGTCGAGCAGGGAGCGTCCCATGCTTCGCCGACGAGCTCCGGCTCGTCGCGAACTCTTAGACTAGGCGTCCTGCGGTGGTTCTGGGGATGGGAGGACTGCCGACGTGGCTGCTGGTTCTCTGGACGCGAGTGTGCCGCATGCGTCACCAGTGTGCTCAGGATTCGAGGGGGAGCTATCGTGGCTGCTGTTGCGCTGGCGTGCGTCGCCGGTGGTGCTGGTGCTGGGAGGGCTGTCGCCATGGCTGCTGCTTCTCTAGACACGAGCGCGTGCCGCCGGTGGTGCTGGGGATGGGAGGACTGTCGCCATGGCTGCTGCTTCTCCAGATGCGGGTGGGTGCCGCCGGTGGTGCTTGAGATTGGAGGGGGCACCGTCGTGGCTTTTGTTGCTTTGGACGAGGGCGTGCTCGGGAATGGAGGTGGAAGATGACAGGTGGGCCTCTTTTGTCAGTGAGAGAAACAGATAATTTAATTTAGAAATTATTTATTTTTCAGGTGCCAATCAGATGCAGGGATACCGGGATTCAAAAGTTGAGTGTGCTTATTTTGGGGATGAAAAGTTTGAGGTTCGGTTCAGCTAAGCCCTGCAAGTTCAAGGTTTGTTTTGGACTTTTTTCTTTCGCTTGTGCCGGCTCCCCAAGCGCTCCCCAGGGCGCCGGGTTCGGCCTGGGTCCGCCGGCATCAGTTTTGGCCCGAATCAGCGAAAAACGGGTTTCCGAGGACGCGACTAGGGCCTTTTTTTGGCGCCGACGCGGCAAAATCGCCTGGGAGGGCCTGTTGGGGGCGCGGCTGGAGATGCCCCTAACCGCACTGACAGCCATGAGTCCAGATCGAGTAGTAACGAAATTTAAGGTAGGGCTAGCGCCGCTCTGCTCCATTCCGAGAAGGAATCCAGATCGAGTAGGAGTAAGTTTGGCCGCTTCATCCGTGGTCCCAAGGTTGAACCCAGATCGAGCAGCGACGTTGACGGCAACTGTGGATCCCTCTCCCCGTTCTGCTCGCGAAACAGTGGAAACGCACAAGCGAGATCCGCCACACCCCTACGTACTACGTACTCTACTCCGTTTCTCCGGAACCGCAATATGTTATCCACCCTCGTCTGCGTCTCGTGGAGGGCATTCCTCCATGCGCTTCGTACTGGGCTGGGGCACACGGTATACAAGTCGCCGAACAAGGGTTGCCCGAGAGGGAGGTGCCCAAGAAACAGAAGCGGCCGGCGTGGGTCTCTCGGTGCAGCATCGGCGTGATCGATCCCCACCGTTTCATGTACGTACCTACGTCCATGCTGCATGAGTGGCATGGTCCCGAATCCCGACCGATCCGTTTTGGAGGCGGTCGCGAGTGAATGATTGTGCATTGCCGTGTACTGCCAGGTTGCCTGATCAACGGCGGCTTTGTTGTTGTTCTACTCGATCGTGCAGCAGCGGCGCATGTCGGTACTGCTACGTACATATGTGGACTTGAGTTGGTCTTTTGGCCTGCGCATTTGTTGGCTTGCGCGCGCGCGCTCGGCGGTGGCGCTACCAGTCTGCTTCCTGATCTGGTGGTGCCGAGACCCACGCGTCAGTTGGGCTCGCTCTCCCACCTATCCCTCTCCCTCTCCCTCCCCCTCCCCCTCCCCGCCCGCTAGACTAGTACTAGGAGTAATCCGCTCGCCGCCGCTGCGGTTATCCGTTCGAGGTTGATGCGCTGCAAAGTTTCCTCTTCCGGGCTGGCTGGCTGGCTGGACTGGAGTGACTCACGTAAACTTCGCCGCTCCGCTCCGGCCACCGGCCTTTCCATCTTTTGCCGCTGCTCCCTTACCTGCCCCGCAACCGCATGTTGATTTCCTCGTTTAATCTCGTGCCTTTCCTCTCAAAGCAAAGAGTGGACTTGGAGTTTTTCCTTCGGCCCCGTTCATTTCTCCTGGATTTCGCGTACAAATCGCCCTTCCCTTTTCCATTCTAATTAATACTCCGCGAGCCGTGATGTCGCGTACGGAGTCGACAAGCTGTATATAAGCCCTCGCTGTGTTTCTTCCTTCCTCTAGGTTTCTCCTTCCATAGCTTCATGTCCCCAAAAGCTCCTTTTCTCTCAACTCCACTCAAGTCGGAGGAGCCTCTGCGCCAGTGCGCCGCGCCCTCGGGCATACTGGGCTAAGTACTGCCCTCTCCATTTGAGATTCTTCATCTTACCGAGGTTTGCGTTGACGCGCTAGCTTCTTCCTCGCGTTCGTTCGTGTCCGCAGAGATGGGCCGTGCCATGCGGTGGCTCAAGAGGCTGCTCACAGGCAGGAAGGAGGCGCACGGTGGCGGCAAGGAGATCCATGCCGCGACCGACTGGCATGACGCGGCGGCGGTGAAGGAGTCCACCAAGAGATGGAGCTTCGTGAAGCAGAGGAAGAGCGGAGTTGACGCTGGGAAGCGGCCCTCAGAGCCTCTCGCCGCCGCGCTGGAGGTGAAGCCATGCCGCTGTGCTGGCGGCGAGCAGGTGGGGGCACGCGAGGAGAAGGCGGCCGTCGTGATTCAGAAAGCCTTCAGAGGCTACCTGGTATGTTCTTGATCAGCGTCCCATTGATTCATATCTCCATCGTACGTCATCTCTGTATAAGTTGGTTGAGATACTGCTGATCGCGTGCGTGTCTGAGTTTCGGCGGCGCGCTGAAATGGCTTGAACAGTCCCGGTGTGCGCCCGAATTCTGACGTTAACGATGCAGATCCTCCCATCAATTATTTTAGTGGATAGGTTCACACTGTTCGCACACTGTTTATTCCAGACCCGTCAGCTCGTTTTGTATTATCTGTTTGGACTAGTGGGCTAAACGTCGCTGTATGTGATGTCACTGCTGGTCATGTTCCTTTCCATTACGGACAGTTGTTAGTTGTTAACTCTTCCTCTGTTCCTGTGCAAAGTCGGCACGTTGATCTTGATCGGCTGCGCAGTTCTTTACTCTGCTTCGGGCCTTCAGCAGCGACTTCTCTGTATAATAAGCCCTATGTTGGTTCGTTGTCAGTGTAGTGGTTACTGATTACGCAGTGTGACATGAGCCTATTTGGCTAAGCTGAGTTGTTTAGTCCTTGGCCCAATGCAAGTTGTTTTGGTTTAAGTTTTGAATCTTCTGTGACAATAATGCATGGCTTCAGGCTAGGAAGGCGCTTCGCGCTCTCAGATCACTCGTCAAGCTGCAGGCTCTGGTCCGAGGCTACCTCGTGAGGAAGCAGGCGGCCACGACGCTGCACCGGCTGCAGGCGCTCATGCGGCTGCAGGCCGATTCCCGCGCCTTCAAGAGTGCCTCCTACCGGAAATCCATGGAACAGGTCAGGCATTTTCACTTACACCATGCCTCGAACTTGAACTCGTCGTTCGTGTTGACCAACGATCACGTGTCGACCGATAAATTTTGAGTTTGATATGTTCGCTGCGGTGCATTTTTCGCAATGCAGGAGAGAATTGTCGCGCAAGATGCCCGGATGAGGACGCCGCCGACCAAGCCCGGGCACCGGCGGAGGCTGTCCGACAGCACGGACTCCAACTACGAGCGCAGCCCGCGGATCGTGGAGATGGACACGTGCCACCTCCGCTCCCGGTCCAGCCGGATGGTGAGCAGCGGCCGGTACGCCACCGATCGCTCGTCGGGTCGCCTGGCCCCGGACCTGGCCCCGCTGTTCTCGCCGCGGTCCGTCAAGCAGCCCCCGAGGCTGTCCATCCGGCGTGAGCCCGTCAGGCACGCCAAGACGGCGCAGAATACGCCCCGCTTCAGCGGGGCCGACCCGCCGTACACATACGACTCGCCTGCCAAGAGCGTGGACGGGCTGGCGGCGCGGCCGCTCTGGCACCGGGACCTGCTCTCGAGCCCGCGGTACATGGCGGGCACGGCCTCGTCGGCGGCGAGGCTGCGGTGCCAGAGCGCGCCCAGGCAGCCGGCCGAGGCGCCGAGGGCGAGCCTGACCCAGCGAGATGTCCCTGCTGGGCCGAGGAAGTCGACGTGCACGCGGACGCAGCATGGCGGCCTCTGCTTCCACTCCTCGGATGCCGCCCACACGCGCCGCTCCGACCTCAGGGACGACGCGGCAAGAGATTATTACTTGGACAGGATGTGGTGATCGATCGGACGGAGACGGTGGTGTATGATACTACCAGTAGCTGCAAATTGCTGGATAGTCTCCGAGTTTTGTACATGCGTAGTTGCTAAATTTTCTTGCTTTCTTGATGACATCTAGTAGGTTCTAAAGTGCTACCACTACAAGCTAAGACATAATTAAGTAGTGTGTGAGTCTGAAGGTGTACGACATCAGTGGAGCAGAGGCAATAGAACAAGGTAAATAAAATGAAGCGAAGAATTACACAGAGGTTTAGCAGTGCCCATATTGATGTTTTTGTCCTGCCCCAAACCGCCAAACGTGTAGTTACGCGCCATGTTTTCTTCAAAAGGACAGCAGGATTGGTTTGACGCTGGAGTTATTTGCTCCAGTGCTACCGATGCTGAAGTGATCTGACGGGAACCAGCTGATCGGCACATGATCCGACAGCGGCAGCGACTCGATGAGAAGCGTACGCGATGATGATCGTTGAAACGTCGGTTTCGTAGTTATTGTACCAAAAGTTCTCAAGACTTCAGGGTTAGCAGCGCGCGACTGGTTAATGGCAAGAAGCAACGAACGTGCCTCGTGTCTCCAATCGAACACCGATCGGTGAAAATGTGCGGAATATACTCAGGAAAAAGTCCAAATCAAACCTTGAACTCATACGGTTTAGGTAAATCGAACCCCAAACTTTCAATCCCTGAAATTAGCACACTCAACTTTGGAATCCCGGTTCATTTTGAACCCTGCATCTGTTTGGCGCACTGGGAAATCAACAATCCTGACCGGGATTACAGTCTAGTCTCACTGACAGTGGGACCCTACATGTCATATACGTCCTCCTCCTCTGTCTCTCAAATTCCATAATCTCTAAATTAAATGGTCAAGCTAGCACACTGTGCGGGCGGTGTTCCCCAATCCCTCAATTAAATCAGCTAGCTAGCACATAGTACGGCCAGCGTTCTCTGCTGTTCTGCCATGTTCGAGGAGCTGCATGAGCACAAGGGCGGCGGTGGGGCTCGCAGCCAAGAGCAGCGAGCTGGGACGGGTCGAGCTCGAGGCCGCCATGGCCAGCTCCAAGCAGAGAACGCACCCGCTTGCGAGCCGAGCTCGAGGCCGCCATGGCGAGCTTGTCGAGCAGGGAGCGTCCCATGCTTCGCTGACGAGCTCCGGCTCGTCGCGAACTCTTAGACTAGGCGTCCTGCGGTGGTTCTGGGGATGGGAGGACTGCCGACGTGGCTGCTGGTTCTCTGGACGCGAGTGTGCCGTGTGCGTCACCAGTGTGCTTAGGATTCGAGGGGGAGCTATCGTGGCTGCTGTTGCGCTGGACGCGGGCGTGCGTCGCCGGTGGTGCTGGGGCTGGGAGGGCTGTCGCCATGGCTGCTGCTTCTCTAGACGCGAGCGCATGCCGCCGGTGGTGCTGGGGATGGGAGGACTGTCGCCATGGCTGCTGCTTCTCCAGATGCGGGTGGGTGCCGCCGGTGGTGCTTGAGATTGGAGGGGGCACCGTCGTGGCTTTTGTTGCTCTGGACGAGGGCGTGCTCGGGAATGGAGGTGGAAGATGACAGGTGGGCCTCTTTTGTCAGTGAGAGAAACAGATAATTTAATTTAGAAATTATTTATTTTTCAGGTGCCAATCAGATGCAGGGTTCAACATAGACCGGGATTCAAAAGTTGAGTGTGCTTATTTTGGGGATGAAAAGTTTGGGGTTCGGTTTAGCTAAGCCCTGCAAGTTCAAGGCTTGTTTTGGACTTTTTTCGGGGCCAAAACACACCTCTTCAAGAGAGGGCGGTGGCCGAGGCCACCTATGTTTGAGTCAAGAGGTATGGCGTCGCGAAGATTTTAACCTTGGACCCATGACCAAAACTCGTCCTTGGGGCACGAGTACCATCAAAAATGGATAATGTGAAAGACTAGATCAATTTATGCATAATGGGGGGAGGGAGAGTTCATTGAGAGAACAACACTCCCCCTATGTCCATGCATACACCTAAACTAGACAACAAGTTGAGTGAGGTGAGGTGTGCAAGGGTTAAAGTCACATTCCTCGAATCAATGATATTTAGCTCATGCCTTAACTCGCGAAATCTTGCTTCATCCAAGGGCTTCGTGAAAATATCTGCAAGGTTATCATGAGTGTTGACATACTTGAGCTCAATCTCCCCTCGCCTAATGTGATCCCGGATGAAGTGATACCGAATCTCAATATGCTTCGTCTTGAAATGTTGCACCGGGTTGAGAGAAATCTTGATGGCACTTTCATTATCACACCAAAGAGGCACTTTCTCACAAATGACACCGTATTCCTTTAAAGTTTGCCTCATCCATAAGAGTTGTGCACAACAACTACCGGCCGCCACATATTCCGCTTCGGTGGACGAGAGAGACACACAACTTTGCTTCTTGGAAGACCAACTCACCAAAGAGCAACCAAGGAATTGGCACCCTCCGGAAGTGGACTTCCTATCCACTTTGTCTCCCGCCCAATCGGAATCCGTAAATCCTTCAAGCTTGAAGTTTGCTCCTCTTGGGTACCATAGGCCAAAGTTTGGGGTATGAGCCAAATATTGAAAGATTCGCTTGACCGCCACATAGTGGCTTTCCTTTGGTGCGGCTTGAAACCGTGCACACATTCCCACACTCAACATGATATCCGGTCTAGATGCATAAAGGTAAATAAAGGATCCAATCATAGAGCGATATACCTTTTGATCCACCGCTTTACCATTGGGATCAATGTCAAGTTGGCACTTGGTAGGCATTGGAGTAGAAGCCGGCTTGACATCACTTAGCTTGAATCTCTTTAGCACGTCTTGAGTGTATTTGGCTTGGTTGATGAAGGTAACTTCTCTTCTTTGTTTGATATCAAAACCAAGGAAGAACTTCAACTCTCCCATCGAAGACATCTTGAACTTAGAGGTCACAAGAGTAGCAAATTCTTCATTGAAAGCTTTGTTAGGGGAACCAAAGATAATGTCATCAACATATAGTTGGCACACAAACAACTCCCCTTTGACCTTCTTAGTAAAAAGAGTGGGATCGATTTGCCCAACTTCAAATCCACGATCTTGTAACAACTCGGTAAGGTGGTCATAACACGCACGTGGGGCTTGTTTAAGGCCATAGAGTGCCTTATCGAGTTGATACACATGATCCGGGAAGTAAGGATCCTCGAACCCAGGGGGTGCTTGACATAAACCAACTCATTAATAGGACCATTAAGAAAAGCACTTTTCACATCCATTTGTTGTAACTTAAAGTTGAGATGGGAAGAATAAGGAATCAACAAACGAATGGATTCAAGGCGAGCAACGGGAGCAAAGGTTTCACCGTAGTCGATACCCTCGACTTGGGAGTAGCCTTGTGCTACCAATCTTGCCTTGTTGCGAATGAAGTTCCCATGGGCGTCTTGCTTGTTCTTGAAAATCCACTTGGTTCCAATGACGTTATGGTTCCCCGACGGCCGTGGCACCAATCTCCACACCTTGTTGTACTCGAAGTTGTTGAGTTCTTCATGCATGGCAATGAGCCAATCCGAATCTTCGAGTGCCTCATAGACCTTTTGGGGTTCAACACAAGAGACAAACGCGTGATGTTCACAATAGTTTGCTAATTGTCTACAAGTGATTACCCCCTTTCTTAGGCTTCCAACCACATTCTCCATGAGATGGCCTTTGGTGGTGAGCTTGGAAGCAATCTTCGCGGCACGACACTCTAATTCCTCCTCGGATGTGGAAGGAGGAGGATCAACTTGATTGTATTGAGCGCCGTCTTGAGCTTGTTCGAGATCTTGAGCTTGTTCTTGATCGTGAACTTGCTCGAGGGGGAGAACTTGACCTTGGGCATCATTTGGTGATTCACCACCATCTGGAGATTGATCTTGCCCTTGGTCTTGTTCATGAGGTTGAGGGCCTTCACTTTGTTCTTCGGAAGCGTGTGGGTCTTGGGGAGGTGATGGCTCCACTTGAGTGGAGCATTGTCCTTCTCCTTGGCCACAAGGGGTTCCTCAATGGGTAGAATATGACCAATACCCATTCTTCTTATGGCTTGGGGAGGAATTTCATCACCTACATCACAAGTACCACTTTGCTCCACTTGGGAGCCGTTATTTTCGTCAAACTCCACGTTACACGTCTCCTCAATGAGCCCGGTGGACTTGTTGAGGACACGGTAAGCATGAGAGTTTATAGCATAACCAACAAATCTGCCCTCATAAGCTCTAGCCTCAATTTTAGACAAACGAACACCTTTCTTGAGAATGAAACACTTACACCCGAACACCCAGAAGTACTTGAGATTGGGCTTGTTACCGGTGAGAATTTCATACGGAGTCTTGTTCAAGCCTTTGCGGAGATAGAGCCGATTTAATGCATGACACGCGACGTTGATGGCTTCGGCCCAAAAGTTGTATGGAGACTTGAACTCCGCCATCATGGTCCTTGCCGCATCCATCAACGTCCGGTTCTTCCTCTCCGCAACACCATTTTGTTGAGGGGTGTATGGAGCGGAATATTGATGCTTGATCCCCTCATCACTAAGGAACTCATCCAAGGTGTAGTTCTTGAACTCGGTGCCGTTGTCACTTCTTATTGTCAAGATCTTTGCATCATGTTGTCGTTGAGCTTCATTTGCAAAGTCGATGACGGTTTGTTGAGCTTCACTCTTCCTCTTGAAGAAATATACCCACGTGTATCTTGAATAATCATCCACAATCACCAAGCAATACTTTCTTCCCCCAAGACTATCAAAGGATGGAGGCCCAAAGAGGTCCATGTGAAGGAGCTCCAAGGGTCTCTTCGAATAGATGATAGTCGTGGGAGGGTGAGCCTTCTCATGAAGCTTTCCTTCGATACAAGCACTGCAAGCATGATCTTTGGCAAAACTAACATTTGTTAGTCCACGAACATGGTCCCCCTTGAGAAGAATTTGCAAAGATCTCATATTGACGTGGGCTAAACGGCGATGCCAAAGCCATCCCACATCAACTTTAGCCATTAGGCATGTCGCGGTCTTGGTGGGT